AGCTTTGTAGAGTATATGGTTGTTTAACCCCTATGCTGTACACCTGAAATCAATACAAAATGATACTGAATGGAAACTGTAATTGAAAAATAAAGTTATTACAAAAAAAGGAAAAGAAAAGCTTAGAAAGATGAAATAGTTTGGCCATAGTCAACAACCAGTAAATTTAGATCTGCTTTCAACTCCTGAGTTTCTGTTTTTAACCACTCTTTTCTACCACTGGATGAAAGAGATGGATAATGGGCTCTATTTCTAAAAAACAAACAAACAAACAAACAACCACTCCTAATCATAGGCTTGGGCCCTGTGTTAGCCCCAAATCCATTACTACAATGGTTCTTGCACACAGCAAAACCTTGCTGATGGACTCCTGGTGGCTATCGGGGTTCCTCACAATAAGGGGGGGCATTTATCACAATTAGCTCCTTGGACTCTGGCTTCGGATGCACTTCCCCAGAAACATGCAGAGAAGGCTAGATTTCCCCTAAGTACCTTTAGGTTTAGGGTATTGGTGTCCATGCCCTATTCTGGGAACAGAGAATAGGATGTGAGAGATGATGGTAAGTAATGGAAGAGATTTTAATGTGTGCTCTGGGAAAGTAGCTGCAATACTTTACAGTCACTCCTTGTGCAAGTACTCTCACCACCTAGACTGAGAGGGCCTTTCCACACTGCACCTAGAGTCTCGGGGTTAACGATGCACCATTGTCAATATAATCAGCAGTCCATCACTGAACACATACACCCCCTGTTTCTCACCACAACATATCATATTGCATTCTGTTGTATTTTTCAGTCTCTTTTTTTTAAATTGTATATATTTTCTGTTACATGTATTCTAAAATTGACCTCTTTAATTTCTCTAATTCTAATGACAATTCTGGTCCCATATTTTCCACTAAGACCTCTACCACCACCACTACGACTATTCAGCAAATAATCGTAGACAATCAATCGTAACAAGATTGATTGAAATCAATCTTGTGCTTACCCTGATTATCACACTTAGAATCTCAAATCACAGATGATAAACTTGTCCAAGGTCACTCAGCTACTAAGAGACACACATGCACACAAGGACTACTTTCCAGTATTCTCTCCCTTTGTGCTCCTGGACGCTGCATTGGGAACTCTTCCTCTCCATTCCCAACCCTTTTCACCTGCCAAATTCCTATTGGTCCTTTAAGGCTCAGCTCAACAATCCCCTCTTCCACGAACCTTCTCAGGTTTTCTCTCTTCTCTCTCCCACCTGGCTGGCAGGCCTGGGCTTCATCCTTCTATGTTTTTGCTAAACATGATTGTCAGCTGACTTCTCTATTTCTCCCTTACCAGGCTCTAGGCTCCTCCTGAGCAGGGTAGGGTCGGGGTCTTATCTTGGGATTCCCAGTACCAGCCCAGTGTGTGGCACATGGCACAGACCCAACAATGCTTGCTGAAAACTAAGTAGTGACCTCACTTGCCTGATTTGGTCAAAGTCCTGGTGAATGATGTCCTCTGACTTAGCAGAAGAGATTTCTCATCATGAGCAATGCCATTTCCTCAGATTTCCATGAACTCGTTCTCTCTCACTAGGTTTTCATTGGGCCAAATAGTTGCCATTAGTTGAAGAACTAACACTTTCAGACACTGAGCTGTGTGCTTCGTGCACATTATGTTTACCCTGACAACACTACCAAGGAGACATCACTCTCATTTTATGGATGAAGCTGACAATCAGTTATTCTAAGGAACTGGTCTACAGCCACACAGAAGGAAGCTTAAAAGCATGCATTAAATGCCCTATTATGTACAGTCATCCCTGTCCTGGAGAGATTCATTAATATTTAAAATGATTTACACACACACACAGAGTGCATACATTTGGATGCTAAAGTGGAGAATGCAGGGTTAACTAGGATTTACAGAGGTTCAAGGTACTTCTACCACATGCATTATCCAGGATGGCAGGGAGGTGGTCTTAACTTTTTTTTTTATCAGATAGCGATGATAATACCTACCTACCTTAAAAGGGCTTAATGTGCACCTTTGTCAAGGAAAGAGGGCACTGGCCCATTTTAGAGTGCCTTGTTGGACAGAGAGTTTGGTGCAGTGTTTCCCGAAGAACATGGAAGGGCCCTGGATGTCAGGGGCACCTGAGGTGTTAACAGGAGATGGGAGAAGCCAGGCTGGGAATCCACATTTAACAAGCCCCCAACTGATTCATTCCATTGGACAGGAAAGTTTAGTAAATGCCAGGTCAGAACAATGCTCCTCAAACTTTAATGTACACATGACTCACTCTGGGATCTTGTTAAAATGCAGATTCAAATTCAGTGAGCCTGTGGGGCAGATTGAGATTCTGCAGGTCTAGCAAGCTCCAAGGGGAAGCCGCTGTTGCTGGTCTACAGGTCACACCTGAGTGGCAGGGATGTGGAAGATCTTTCCGCATGGGAACAAATGAGCTTTGCTTCGTTTCTGGACCACAGACTGCATCCCCATCTTCTGAAGTATTCTAGAAAGCCCAGACTCTCAGTATTGGTACAAAATCACCTAACTACTGAAAACCCAATTGGAATACCTGCCCTCTCACTAGGGGAAAAGGAGCAGCATCCTTTCAGATACAAATAGCACCTATGTTTAGCATGTGAAAGAATACTTTACTGCTACTACTTGAGCCCTAGTCACTGTGCAAAGCATTTTCTTTGTGTGTAAAAGTAAACAGAAACCTCATTTAGAAAACTCTCACAGCTGTCACTCAAGAACCCCACTGACCCCAATAGAAGGAGACATGCCTTGCATCTCTGACAGGAGGTGATACTAGTTTATTACCTCAGCAGCAGCAGAAAAAGAGTCTTCCTTGCCCAATAACAGTTCAGCCAATGGGAGACTGCCATAACTCAGCCAATGAAAAGCCACTATCCTTCCAACTTTCAATTTCCTCCAAGTCTATAAAAGAGAGCATTCTCTCCTCTGTTTCTCTGGACTAACAAGTGGTTCACCATTGGACCACATGTTCTGAATTGCAATTCTTTGCTGTTCATGAGTAAAAGGATTTTTTTCTGAGAAAGAGCTGGCTATTTGTTAAAGGTCAACATATACTATCTCTCCTCCCAACCAGAACTCTACAAGGTGTATATTCTTGTTCTGTAGGTATGGAAAGGATGGTGTAGAGAGCTTAAGCAACTTGCTTAAGGGCACACGGCAGGTTAGCTGTTGTAGCTGGGCTTCCAATCCTGCTCCATTGGGATCCATGGCCTGTGTACCCGCTGCGCATCCTCCATGCTAATAAATGTGATTGTGTGTGTGGGGGGGGGAGTTCATCGGGGGAAATGTTTATCCTGTATCAGTCTTTGAGGGTAAAGCTCTGTTGAGGTAGATTCTAGAGAGAGGTGAGGTTGGGAATTAAGTTAATTAATTAGTGACCTATGTTATCTAATAAATAAAAACATGCAGAGAGCAAATGGATCCATGGATTCCATAAATCTGACCATGCAGATGGAGTAAAAATTACCCTCATGACCAGTGCACTGATCCTACATATTGCTACCAGGGCTTCTAGCTATGAAGCTCAACTGTAAAGAAGAAAAACTCTTCCTGATCCATGTGACCTATTAACACACCTGCCTTCTCCTGCATGAGGGGTCTGTAACCTTAGAGTTCATGCTCTGTCATTCATTGCACAGTGGCCACACCTCCCTATCTCCGGTAACACTGCCTGCACCTGAAAACACGTACTGTTTAGTCAAATGTGTGGAGAAACAGCAATATTTAAGGTTTTCTCTTGGGTAACAAAATGTTCTGTATTTTTCACACAGCTGACGTGGAGGGAGAAATGTTTAGAGCAAGATAAAGATGCTCAGAGAAAGTGGTCAGCTAGACACTCAGGTGTACCCCATGAGGGGAAGACAACTATAAAATGAACTGTCCAGGCATTTCCCATCGGATGTCTTCAGCATTTAATGACCTGTGGATGAAGTATCCACAGGCCGTGTTTTTAGCCTCAGGTTTCTTCACTATTATAATTCATACTCAATAGCTTCACCGTCACTTTCTAAAGATCTTTTATCTTTAATATACGTAGTACAACTATTTACCTATACAATACAAAACAAGATATATTTAGAAAGTCACATCTCCTGCAATTAAATATATAGGCATATGATGGTCTAAAACCAGTGACAATGGAATTATTAAGGAATACAAATAGATTTTGTCCCTATGGTTTACTCTACACATGATGTTTCGAAACTAAAACCTAAAGAGAAGCTCATTTGAAAACCCACTTAAAAGCATGTTTAAAAATGTGGGTATTTTAAACAGGAGGTAAGAAGGTAAGGAACTAAGTCTGGAGCATTGATTTCAAACCAATAAGCATTCCCCATTTCACTTCCCAACCCCCAGGAACAGTTTCGACCTCAGAAAATCTAAACCAAATGTCGACAGGAACCAATGTGAGATTTCTCTGGCCACATTTCACTGAAATGTTTGGACACGAACATGTTTGCAGTGAGTCATAATTTATAGAGCCTCAATGGCTAATGCCCTATGTACCTTGCTTCCTACATTCAATATCATTCTCAAACCAGCTGGTGCTGTATTTTCCCAGGCCCTGATCATTTTTATAAAGTTACCAGATCTCAGTTACTAAGGCTGCCACCCAGCACCCTTTCTAATGCTGATTTTTCATGCTATCTAAACACAGGGAAACCTGATTCTCTTTCTAAACTAGGACTCTCCCCAACCAGGCAGTTAACGCTAGTGCAAGGCGCAGTACTTTTAAGACCCTCCATTCTCCGCCCTCCGCACGCCCCCCGCCCCCCGCGAGAAAAGCTGAGGGGCCTAGGGAGCACTCCAGGTGAAAGACGGTGTGAAAGATTAATGCGGAGTCGTTCTGGATAACAGCCGGCATAATAACAGGATGTGCTCGTTTCTAGAGGAAGCAGGAGCTGCAATAGCCCCGGGTCAGGAAAGGAGGCGTCAGCAACACCCAAAGGAAACGGGCGCGTCAGGGTTTGCAGAGATCTGGCCTGCTTAGGGTCTCTCGCTCCCGTCAGGTCCGAGGCTAGTCACCACCTCCCTCCCAGGGAACCAAGCTCGGGCCTCTCGGCACTAGAGGCTATAAAGAGGTACCCATCTGCTCCCTGCCACCTCCGCCAAGGATGGGCAGTGGGGTGAAGAGCAAAGGCAAACACCACGCTCCGCGGCAGGTGAACTTGTCAACAAGTCAGCCCCAGTCTCAAGGACCTTGAGGTCCTGGGGCCGGAGCCACTGCGGGGCTAGGCGTGAGAGGGTGATGTGGGCTGGCGTGAGTCGGGGTGCTTGGGCGCTGGGGAGAGATGGGGCCAGAGCCCCGAACGCTTTCCTCCGGCTCCCCTGGGGCTGACGCACGCTCTCTTGGCGCGCGCGTCTGCCAGACCTTCCCAGGCCCGAGGGAGCAGGCGGGGGAGGGTAAGGGGCTTCAGAGGTTCCCGCTTGAGGATCAGCAGCAGGAGAAGGCGACCTGCCTGTCACCCGCCGCCGAACTGGCAGTCCCAGGCTGGCGCCCCGATCGCCCTGGCTGCGGGGCGATTCCCGCAACAGCCTGCAGCCCGCCCGGTGCACCCCCACCCCGGCCCCGGAGGGCAGGTACCTCGGGCCCCGGCCCCTAGGAGCCTCCCGGCAGCAGTCGGAGCGTCTCTCCAGCTCCCTCAACCGACGTCAGCGTCAGCAGAAGGCAAGGGAAAGGGGCGGGGGAGCGCAGGAACCGGTCCTTCCTGCGGTGGCGGCCGCCAGCCGGAATAGCAACCCGCGGATCCCGCGCGCGCCCCAGCGCAGCGCAGCGGCGGGGGCGAGCGGGCACCGGCAGTCCGGGCACCGCCACCGCCACCGCCCTCTCTCCCTACCTCTCCTTTTTCGAGAACCCTCCCAGCAGAACCTCGGGATCTGAATGATGGAGGGGGCTATGGCCTCACTTTGTTTCGGGCGGGTCGGGGATGGGGCGAGTGAGTCTCCCTCTCAACTCCCTGGGGTCTTTCATCCACTCCCACTTCCTGGGGAATCCCCTGCTCCGAGCAGCCGCCCGGGAGACCCCGCCCCTGCTCTCCCGCGGGTGTTCCACGTATCCATAGCTTTTGCGTCACAATGACCTGGCCGACAGGTGGGAGCCGTAGCAAAGGGTTCCTTCCCACTGTGCCCTGTGTAGGGCAAGCTACCTGCTTCCACTATAGGTTTTTGTGGCTTTAGGGACAGGAGATTCCATGACTTCGGTGCCAAGAAAAGTTACAGAGGCCTGTACCTGTGAATCAAGTCTGGGCTTGAAGGAAAAAGGCTGTGTGGGGGTGGGGGCGTGGGGAGTTGTATGTATATAATTTTTTCATTCTCACATAGTCACATACCTTTTATACTTGAGTTGTTGATGTTTATAATAATTTCATCTTCTCTTATCCTTTGTCATCAGGAAAAAATCAAACCATGTTTTTAAACTACCCGGTAGTGATCACGTGAAGAAAAGTGCTGGAATAGGTAATTCCCAAAATTATCTCTACTGAAAAGCAATCCCAATGTGCTATGACTCAATCCCTGGTTATGGTATATACTTGCTAACAAGTTTATTGAGTAGTCACTGATTGAAACAATTTAACAGGGTGGAAGGAGAGACAGTTGTCAAATAAAGATGCAAACATCTGAAATCCGCAGCTAACGTGAATGGGCAGCTCCTTCTGTGCCGAGCATATGTGCTATATGCTTTCCATGTAGTTTTTACGGCAACCCAACAGTGTAGATGAAATTGTTATTCCTGTTTCACAAATGAAAACACTGCCCAGAGTGCCAGAAAGGCGTTCAGCTAACAGGATACCGAGGAGAAATTTGAATCCAGGATTGTCTGAACCAAGAGATTTAGCTAATCTCAAGATAGAAATATGGCTGACCAAAATGATAGCGAAATTGTATAGGAGAAGATGTTGCCATTTTAATAGAAAAGTAATAAGATAGTGCAGCTCCAGAAATGTATGTAACCTTTAAAGTTGACATTATTCTTTGGATATATTCTTTGGGATTCTGTTAATCATTGATAGGTTTGAGCCTGTCTCAGAATGGCACAAAATATGGAATAGAGCAAAGTCCTTAATAAATGTTTATAAATAAATAATGAAATGCTATAAAAATAGCAAATTACTAAAAATCTGAGATTCAGGAGAAATTTTGGGAGAGAAAAACATTGCTCGTATATCTGGCTTTTACAAGGCGCATTCAAACTGACCTATTAACAACACAAGCTAAATGATTTTCCTGTTTTAAGAAGGAAAAGGTGTGTGGGGGTGGGGGAGGAGCAAAACTCCTAACATGAAAAAAAAAAGGCCTTCCTTGTACCAGAAGGATGATTAAGATATTTGCTTTTAAATATTTGATTTCAAGAACCATTAACTTATGCATAAAAAATATTATGAGTTTGAAAAAATGAGATTTTTTTATAAACAGAATGAAGTGCTATTTCTAACATAGTAGGTCCTCAACAAGTGTTGGTTGAATATATCAAGTCAGTTAATTAAAACATTGAGAGAGAAATCAGTCACAAAATGTCTTGACTCTGTCATGTCTTCCTTTCCACCAGTGGTGATGTACTAGTTTCAGGAAAAACTATTAGAAACCTGTTTATGAAAGAGAACACGCTGACAGTGACCAGAGGGGAGAGGGGAGGGAATTTCAGGGGAGAATGGGAACAAGTATAAAGGACACATGGACAAAAACTAAGGGGGGGGTGGAAATGGGAGGAAGGTGGAGAGGGCTGGGGGGATGGGCTGGGATGGGAGTAAAAGACAGAAAACTGTACTTGAACAACGATTAAAATAAAATTTTTTAAAAAAGAGAGAAACAGAAAAAAAAGAAAGACAGACGTTGTGGTAGATATTTATATCCATTACCAGAGCCAGAATGGCAGGTTACGTGTTTGTTCACAAAATACGGATGAGTGGAACACAAGCATTAGGGGAGGTGGACAAAACTGCTGATTTATATAACTAATGACTCAGGTTTCCTCTTACTTTTCCAAAGATTGAGGTGAAAGCTGGGGCTGTGGGCTCTAACAACCCGCCACGGAGGCTGAAAGTGGCTCCAAAACCGTGTCTAAAAGTAAACAGTTGTGGGACACAAACACTATCTGGTCAGCATGGCGCTGAAATTCCTGAGGCTCCCAGAGAGTTTAAGACAGAGCTTTTAATGACTTTTCATCATTATTAATGCTGTCCTAAAATTTAGGATAATATTTGAGGAAGAAAATACTACGTTTGTGCTCATTCTACCTAAACCACAATGAGTGCTTTTCTTCCCATTTCAAAAATCACCCCACCGATAGTACTTCCATTCGTTCCTGGGTATCAGGTGGTTGTTTCATTCTTGCAGAGCACCCACAGGTGCTAGGGAGAACTGAAAACATTTCTAAGAAGAGGATGGGTATTGAATGTTGGAATCTGAAATTAAGAAGGAAATAATGTGTGTTTTCCAGAGTGGAACAGAATGATGAAAAAAAAAACTCAAAAGAAAAAAATTCTTACATATTCATTCAATGATATTCTTTTTGATGGCTTCCCAGGTTCAAGATGTGCTAATAGAACCTTATATATTAGGAAATCTATTAGGCGGTCATTACCAGATGCCCAGAATAGCAGTGGATTACATGAAATAAAGGTTCATCTTATTAAACATTAAAGAAATCGGAAAGTAGGCTCCAGAGCTTGCACAGCCTCCACTAAGTCTCCAGGGTATTGCCCTCTTCTTCCATTCCACCATTCTGAGCAAAGTAATGTTGCTTAAGGGTAAATCCAGGTGAGGATGTGGAGAGAGAGAAACCTGCATGCATTGCTGATGGGAATGTAAAAGATGCAGCCACTTTAGAAAATGGTCTGGAAGTCCCTCAATGATTGAACATAGAGTTACCGTATGACCCAGCAGTTCCACTCCCAGGTATACACCCAAGAGGAATGAAGACCTATGTCTGCACAAAAACTTACATGTGGATGTCTGTAGCAGCATTGTTCAGAATAGTCAAAAGATGGAAATAGTACAACTGTCCATCAGTGGATAAATACATAAACAAAATATAGTATGTCTATACAGTAGAATATTACTGAGCTGTGACAAAGGATGAAATACTTGTACATGTTGTTACTTAGATGAACTGTGAAAACATTATGTTAAGTGAAAGAAGCCAGCCATAAAAGTTTATATGTTATATGATTCCATTCACATGAAAGTCTAGGATGGGGAATTCTATAGAGACAGAAAGTAGATTAGTAATTGTTTAGCACAGGAGAGGAAAAGAAAATGTATATATATGTGTAAATAAATACATAAATGTCTAAATGAGCATACACAAACTCTTCATCTGCATTAATACAATTCATTTAGTGGACTGTTGGTAGATATTTTTATGGTCTGAATACTCCTTATGTGCTCCCCCAACATGAGCAAGTAAGGCAGAATACCCTTCTTTCTGTTGGGCAGTGGGCACCATGATGCAGATGAGTGCTCCGCCATCCAGACGTATTTATAGTATCCTACTGCTCCAACATCTTCTCATTTTCTGACTCATCTTTGACAGTACTCATGCTTTTCTAGAGTATGATGCTAATGTAGAGCTTCAGTTATTATTATCATTGTCTTTAAACCAATCCACATCACTATTAAAAATTAAAAGCTAAAAAGAAAAAGTGCTATAATATAAATCTATATCTCTTTAAAGCTCAGCTAATTAATAAAAAATATCACTTTTCCTTCAGCATTGCTGGGAGGTTAAAATTAGATACTCTCTAAGAATAAACTTTGAATACATTATTTTAAAAATTATTGTTAAATTCTGTGATTTTTATTGATGATAAAAATGTAAAGAAAAGTTAAGCTAAATGTTATTGGCAAAATGAAGTCACTTATTTCCCGTATTGTGTGATACTTAAAGAGGAATTAGATGTACCCAAGAAGATGGGCTAAGTATCTTGACCAAGTTTGGTTTAATTCTTGTAATCAGTTTTGCTCTCCACACAGCAAAACAAAACTTCTATTATACTGTCAGCAGAATTAGTTATATCTTGAGGCAAATTTGTGTGAGCATGTGAAAATAGAACAAATGTTTAATTAATAGCATTAAGTTTTGTTAATTAAAATTAACTTCCTTTCCCTTCAAAAATAAGGCTACAGTGAAGAGAGAAGGCTTATTTTATGCTAAAGAGAAAGGTAATTATTTTCATTACCAAAGCAGCTTAGATTTCTGCATAAAACAATGCAGTTCCACATCACTATCATCCATTGGAACTTTTGCCATCTAGTATGATCCTGCTCTGACTAGGAACTGTGCTGGGGTTTGGGCAAACCTTAACCTAGAGTTTGTAGCTGTGTCCTGGTCTTGGCAGTCATAGAGCTTATGAGCCTTTGAAGGGTCACTGTCCAGGAGAGAACAAGATTCACCTGAAAGATTTGGATGGAACTCCCTAGATCTTTCTCTCTCTGTCTCTCTGTCTCCGCTGCACCGCCTCCCCCCCGCCCCCCACGCCTCTGCCACCCTAAGAACTCAGGTGCAGATAATCAAAGTAATTCAGGGGAAGTGTGGGTCCATCGTTTGGTTTAGGAGGCTGAATTAGGACTATAACCCATACATTCTAATTCCTGGTCAGATGTACTTTTCTTTTTCTTTTAACTTCTTAACTTACTTGCCTTGGCAGAGACTGTTACTGTATTTTGCCATGTATGATGCACACCCACATTTTTGACCCAAACTTTCAGGGAAAAAAATCTTTCATTTTAATTTTTTAATTCAATTTTTTTACTTCTTTATATTTAGACACTTGGGGGTTTTTTTGTATCATAAAAGAATTTTAGCATTTATTTTTAAATGCTTATAGTATAAGAAATTTTATGTAACACATAATTACAAAACACAGATAACAAGAACAGATACAAGGTACAAGAAGTTTTATGTACCAGTAACAAATTTACAATATTTATACATCATAGAAGGTAGATACAGAATTAGTAGTACCTATGTATAATGCACATCTTTATTTTTCCCTCTGAAATTGGGGCAAAAATGTGTGCATTTTACACAGCAAAATATGGTAATTACTTCCCAATACTTTTCCTCCATTTTTCCTATAGTAATATAAATTTCAGCTGAGTATGTTGTTACACAGCAAATGACTATATTTTCTAACTTCTTTTGCTGCAAGGTATACCCGTGTGACCAGGTTCTGGCCGGTAGAATGTGCCTGGAAGAGACGCATATAATTTTTAGGTCATGCCTTTGAAAGAAACACACCTTCACCTTTGCCCTCTGCCTTTGCCACTGGTTGGACCACCTTTGAGCATGCAAATAAGGGCAATACTTAGAGGGTAGCAAGGCGCCTGGATCCCTGACCACCTGATCTGCTGTACTGCCTGGTTCTCCTGAGTGTACTGTTTTATGAAAAGGAAATAAAGTTCAATGTTGTTTAACCCACTATGTCTTTGGGTATTATTATAGCCCAGCTTTTATTGTAATTAAGCTCTTCATTTCTCATGTTTATATTCAAAAACAATAATTCTCAATCCCTGGGTCACAGGACCATGATGGTTTTTGTATTAATGCAAACGATCACAGGATTTGAATCTCTAACAACTAATGTCTGCAGATAAAACACCTGCTTGACAAATGCTACAATTTTAAAAGTACATGTGATGTGATAGTACAACAAAACTCTTGAGATGTAGGTATGTTGGTGATAAACCTTTTAGTTTTGTACATCTGAAAAGGTCTATTTCACCTTGGTTTTGTAATATTTTTTCATTGGTAAGGAACTCTAGGTTGACTTCTTTCCAATACTTTAAAAATATAATTCCAACCTTGCTTCTGTCTTGCATTGTTCCTGGCTCAAAATCTGTCATTCTTATCTTTGGTCCTCTGTGTCTCCCCCCAGCCCCAACCCACCCTCCCACACACACACCTTGGCTGCTTTTTAAAGACTTCTTTCCCCCTTATCATTAATTTAAAGAAGTTTGATTATCATGTTGCTGGAGTTTTGGGTGGGGAAAAGGGTTATTGAACTTGGAGGTGTGGATTTATAGTTTTAATCAAACTGAAAAACTTCAGCCACAAGAATAGCTGCACATTATTAAAGGAGAGAAACAGAGTCAAATAACTGGCGTGACCTGACTTCAAGAATTACTGTCAAGCTGTAGTAATCAAGACAGTGCTGCACTGGCAAAAGAACAGACAAATAGATCAATGGACCAGAGGCAGAGATTCGATAATCATCTGGCCTTTCACAAAAAGTTAAAGCAGTTCAGTGGAGAAAGGATCGTTTTTTCAACAAATGGTGAAGGAGCAGCTGGACCTTCACACACCCTAAAATGCATCTAGACACTGACCTCATACCTTCCACAAAAATTAACTCAAGGTGGATCATAGGCCTAAATATAAAACACAAAACTTCAAAACTTAGAGGATAACATAGGAGAGAATTTAGATAATCTTGGGTTTGGTGAAGACTCTTTAGATACTACACCAAAGGCACAATCTATGAAATTAAAAATGGATAGTGGAACTTAAAAATAAAACTTCTCTCTGGAAAAAACACTGTCAAAAGATAAGCCATAGACTGGGAGAAAATACTTTTAAAAAACTTATCTGATAAAGGACTTTATCTAAAATATAATCTTTAAGAAATCTTTGTTTTCTAAAATACACATCTTTAAGAAATCTTAAAACTCAACAATCAGAAAATGAACAACCTAATTAATAAATAGGCAGAATTCTGGGCAAACACTTTACTAGAGATGACATACAAATGGGAAATAATATAAACATGTGCCCAATATTATATTAAAAAATTGCAAATTGAAACAATGAGATACCACTGCACACCTATTTGAATGGCTCAAAACATTGACAAGACGAAATACTGATGAAGATGTGGCACAAAAGACATTCTCCTGTACTGCTGGTGGGAATGCAAAATGGTACAGCTCTTCCTATACGACCCTGCAGTTGCAATTCTTGTCATTTACCCAAGTGAGTTGAAAGCATGTCGATCCAAAAACATGCACACAAATATTTATAGCTGCACATAAATATTTATGGCAGCTTTTTTAACAATCGCCCCAGAATTGGGAGCAACCAAGATGTCCTTCAATAAGTAAACAGATAAACTGTGGTGTATCCACACAGTGGAATATTAATCAATGTTAAAAAGGAGTTTGCTATGAAGCCATGAAAAGACATAAGGAAGACATATTCTTTTAAGGAAGCTTAAAAGAATATTGCTAAATGAAAGCCAGTGTAAAAGGCCACTTAATGTGTGATTCCAGCTAGATAACATTCTGGAAAAGGCAAAATAAGAGAAACAATAAAAGAAATCAGTTGTCAGTGGCTTGGGTGGAGGGAAAGAAGGATAAATATATTATTTCCTAGTATCCAATATTTTGAGTTGTATTTTGTTTTATTTACTTCAGGTGGGAGCTACATTTGGTGCCTGTTATTTCATATTAGTAAGAAGTAGAAGTCCCTCCATTGGTGAATTAATAGTAACCTTGCATTTTGTGTTTTCTTGATTAATATATATTATGTGTATTACTACTATTTAGTAGGGCGGGCAGGGAGTCAGGATATTTTCATGTTGAAGAAGGGTTCTCATCAACACTCCCACTGAAATGTGGGCAAAAGCCAAGGACAAATAATTTATAATACACTGAAATAGTAAAAATTTAAAAATAGTATTTTTCAATAAAAAATTTTCAACTTAAGCCCTCGTTGGTGTAGCTTAGTTTGTTGGAGTGTCATAACCAAAATACTGTGAGTTCAATTCCTAATCCTGGCCTGTGCAGGAGGCAGCCAATCAGAGCTTCTCTCTTGCATCGATGTTTCCCTCTCTTCCTTCCTTTCTCTCTAAAGGAAATGGAGAAATTGTCCTCAGTTGACGATTAAAACATTTTTCAACTTAAAAACATTTTCACGTATCGTATTGGCAAACATGAAAACCAAAAATGCTAAAATGCTCGGAGTTAATGAGAATATGGGAAACAGACCCTCATAAAGTGAGGATAGAACAAAAACTTTCTTTTCCAGTTTTATTGAGAAATAATTGACACACATCACTGTATAATTTTAAGTCATACAAAGGTGATTTGATTCACTTATATTGGGAAATGATTACTATGATAGGTTTAGTAAACATCCATCATCTCATACAGATACAATTAAAAAAGGAAATAATTTCTCCTTGTGATGACGGTTCTCAGTCCTGTGTGTCATACGGCAGTGTTCACTATCGTCATCACATTGTGTGTTGTATCCCTAGCACTTCGTTGTCTTATAAAAGTTTGTACCTTTGATTACCTTTCTCCAATTTCCCCTCCCCCACCCCACCACTGATAACCACTAATCCGATCTCTTCTTATGAGTTTGGTCTTTTTTGTTTTCTTGCTTTTTTGTTTTTTTAGATTACACATAGATGAGGTCACACTGTGTTTGTCTTTCTCTAACTTATTTCACTTAGCATAATGCCTTCAAAGTCCATCCATGTTGTCACAAATGATAGGATTTCCTCATTAATTATGGCTGAATCATAAATATTTATGCATACATGTATACACATGTGTATATGTCTATATATACATATGTGTATGTATGCATGCATGTATATAGACATAGATGCACATATATGTACATTTCTGTGTATATATTATTATATATACACCATAACTTTTTTATCCATTCATCTATTGATGGTGGCTTAAGTTAGAAACAAAAAATTTATGCAACTTTACAATTTGGCAATACATGCATAATATTAACTGTATATACTTGTGATTCTGCATTTCTGCTTTTAGGATCTTTTGATGCAGAAATACATGAGTGTACAAAAGTGAACATGTGAAAATGAGCATCACAACACTGTTTATAACATTAAAACTGACAAGGACCAGAGGGGAGGGAGGGGGTCACGGGGGAAGAAGGGGAACATGTACAAAGGACTCATGGGCAAGGACAATGGGGAGGGCATTGTCTTTGGGAGCAAGGGTTGGACAGGGCAGGGGAGAGCAACAGGTGGGGGAGGGGAATGGGGACAACTAACTGAACAACAATAAAAAAATGAAATAACTTTGAAAACAGTAAAATGTCCGTCTCAAAGAAAGATTAACTAAATTACAGTACACTTACATATTAAACACTGATAGCTGTTAAAAAGAAATGAGGTCAAGATTTTATAAAAGTGAAAAGAGCAGCTTGCACAACACAGCATGAAATACAATTCTATTTAAGTAATTTTTTTATATATTACATTAAAGTATAGGTTTCTAATGACATTTACTAAAATGCGAACAGAGGCTGTCTCTGGGGAGTGTTCATTTTCTTTGACTAAGGTTGGAGGTGGAGGAAGGTTGGATTTTCACTTATACCCTTTGGTAATACTTGGCTTTTTTACAGAGTACATACTGTATTTTATAATTTGCAGGTTCCCCTGATGGTCTGGAATCTGTCTCTCTGGGGCTGTGGTTCTTCAACCTCAGTGTGCTTCAGTGGTGTCTGAGAGGCTCATTAACAGTATACGCTCCATCTCAGACCTAGTAGATTAACCTTTGGGTGGAGGCCAAGGATTCTGCATTTTAAACTATCTCTTTGAGTTATTCTCATGCACATGAAATTTTGAAAACCATTGGATCTATGGGCCCAAGAGGCTGGTGTAGCTTTGGGAAGGTAGAGAATACTAAGGGAGAGCTCTCGAGATCCAGATGCAAGACTGTGTAAGAAACTCTGTGTGCCCTTGAAATAGCTCCCACTGTGGCAAAGGTGGGCACAGCACACATTCCAAGGGCAGGGAGTGGGTAAGGAGCCTAGGACTACCTGAGCCCAGCTCAAGGGTCTGCCATCAGTCACATTGTCACAATGACCCCTCCAACAGGGTCAGTGCGTTTGCAGCAACATGGCCTGTCAACCGTTGTTGCCAGTCTCAGCCTGGAGCCTGCGCCAGCAAAGATGCAGTAAATATTTACTGACTCACACTGGGGAAACACTTCTTTCCCTTCTCATTTTCTGTCTTTCCTCCCCTCCTCATCCTGACCTTTTCCCATCTGTCATCTTTTTTCCCTGGCTTGTGGGTTTGTGGTCTACTCTTGAAGAAACATCCATCTAAAACAGATCTAGGCACCAAATAGAAAAAAAAAGCCTATATCTGAAATCATATCAGTATCAATTCAATCCCCCAATTCATCAGGTTGTACCAATATGACATTTGATCATTCACTTGGGTTAATTCTTTTTCTTGTTATTATGTGTGATTATATTTGGTTCCTCTTTAGTTTCATGACTCTGCTTTTATTTGCAAACATTTACTTCCACTTCCTAGCATTGCAATACATCGAGGCATCATTTGCCTTTGATTTCAGATAAACTGTTCTTTCTGCACAGCACACAGTAAGTGATATTCTGCTAAAATATGTTGGGTTGGTAAGA